GGCAAAATGTTTACAATGACTCTGGGTGAGAGGTACATAGGTGCTTATTATACTGTTTTGTTTCTGAATTTGAAATTTCTCAAAATTTAAAAAAAAAAATCTGAGGAGCTTTTCATAACTGGTGGGGAATGGGTTCTGGGTGGTTTTGCCCCTTTTCTTTTTAGATTCAAGAAATCCATGGTGAAAGGTTTGGATTCCTACGAAGAAAAGGAGGATGAGGTGATCAAGGAGGTAAGTTAAAGCAGCAGTCCCTCACCTTTTTCGCACCAGGGGCTGGTTTTGTGGAAGATGATTTTTCCAGATGGACCCAGGCAGGGGATGGTTTCAGAATGAGACTGCTCCACCTCAGATCATCAGGCATTAGATTCTCATAAGGAGTGCGCAACCTAGATACTTTGCATGCCCAGTTCACAATAGTGTTTGTGCTCCTATGAGAATCTAATGCCACCGCTGATCTGACAGGAGCTCAGGCAGCAGTGCTGTTGCAGCTTGCTTCCTGACAGGCCACAGACCAGTACTGGTCCACGCCTGGGGGTGGAGGGCCCCTGAGTTAAAGGAAAGGCCTCTGAAGAAACTGGCCCCCATGATCCTGTCTAAGCAGCCTCTCTCCCACAGATGGCAGCTCAGATCCGCGAGGTGGAGCAGAGCCGGCAGGAGGTGGTTCGGTCTGTCTTAGAGGTTGGTTTCCCTCGGAGGATCCAGACAAGTATCCAAATCCACTGATCCCTGGCATTCCCAAGTCCAGCATTTCATGAACCAGTGCTGTTTTTTTTTTTTTTTTTTTTTTTGAGACAGAGTCTCACTGTCACCCAGGCTGGAGTGTAGTGGCACAATTTTGGCTGACTGCAACCTCCACCTCCCAGGTTCAGGTTCAAGCGATTTTCCTGCCTTAGCCTCCTGAGTAGCTGGGATTATAGGTGTCACCACCACGCCTGGCTAATTTCTGTATTTTTAATAGAGATAGGGTTTCATCATGTTGGCCAGGCTGGTCTTGAACTGACCTCAGGTGATCCACCTGCCTCAGCCTGCTGGGATTACAGGCGTGAGCCACTGCACCTGGCCATGAAAAAGTGCTTCTAAGAGAACTCTGACTGCATTCTCATTTGCTTGGCTTGAATTCCCTTACCTGTGCACAAGGGGGCAGGCCTAGTCAGTGAATATGTGGACGGGGCTGGGAGGGAGGGAAGGAAGAGTCTGTAAAAGATGGCAGGGCAGTACCTTCCATATGCTAATTTGTTTCCTTCATGTGATACTGGGGTCTGGAGGGTGGAGGCATGGCCTAGGCAGGCTCTTAAGCATCCCAGACACATTTATTTTTCCTGAATCAAACTCAGCCTCAGGCAGTGCCAGACCCAGAAGAGGGCTCTTCAGCACCTAGAAGCTGGAAAGGGATGAACAGGTAAGACTGTTAGAGAATCTCTTGTTGGGAATTTGACATCTTAGAACATTCTGCAACCTTTTGGCCGGGAAATGGAAACAGATCTAATCTTTACCACCCTCATGGCTCAAGGACCTCATCTGCCAGCCTGGCTCATGTTTTTCAGCCAAGTAGCTTCCAGCTCACAGCAGCCCTCAAACTTGGACCTGCCACCAGCTCCAGAGCTTGACTGGATGGAGATAGGACCATCTCTGACATTCATTGGCCATCAGGTACAAAGGATAAGCAAGCCAGAAGAGGGCCAATGCTCCCTCAGGTCTCAGGACCCCTCTTCTGATTTTCTACCTATTCTAGTCACTGCAGACTTTTCCTTCTTACTTCACTGTTCCCTAGTAGTGTTCTCAGACTTCTTCTCACCCTCCAAAGGGATCCTATTCACATGTATTGCCACTTAGAAGTGCCAACTCCTAAATCTTGCCCTCTGTAGAACTCATAGTACCAACTCAACACAGGACTATTATATTTAAATATCCCATAGGCATCTGAAACTAACCTCCACCACTCCTGTATTTCCAATCACTAGATGCAGATCCTTTCCTTTTCCGTCTCCCATATCCTGTCAACAAGCAGTCAGTTTTAAACATCTGTCTGCCTCTATTCAGCCTTTGGACAACTTCTACTCCCCCTTCAATCCTGCCTCACCAACAGAAAATCATCGTACCACTTATGATCTTACTCTACACTTCAGCTGTATTGATTGTGTTGCTTCGGGCTTTTACAGTTGCCATTGCCTAAAACATGCTTTCCTTCCCTTATCACCTAAAGTTTACCTTCCTTTAACTCTTAGCTCAAATGTCACTTTTTCATAAATGGCTTATCTGAACAGGTTATCTCTATTTCAAGTGGATGTAGCACCATGTAAAGTTGCAAACGTAATTTACCTAACTTGTGCTTAATGCTGTTCCCCAATTATATGTGTGCTGTGAAGGCAAGGTTTTGCTCACCTGGCACGTAATAGCCACTCTACTTACGGACATCTCCACTGTTATGACTGTGAGCTTCCTAAGGACAGGGCTGTCTTAAGAATGACTTACTGTGCTTTCAAAGTTTAACATCAGCTGGGGTGCAGAATTGAGCATTGTGGCAGCAGTCACACCCACCTCTTTTGAAGTGTGCTTTATCTATCTTTTCTAGGTTTTTTTTTTTTTTTTTTTAAATCATGGCTAGACTTTAACTAGCATTTTTTTTTTCCCATTTCCAACTACAGGATATACCAGGAGTTGGTAACATCCACTCAGGTAAGGTCCAGGGCAGAGTTTTTAAAACCCTGGGAGATAATTTTCTTGTTTTCTTTTTAAATAAAGTTGGCCAAGATAAAGCATATGTATCTGGTAAAAGCCTTGTATCCAGAATATAGGAAGAACTGTCAACTTGATATTAAACAACCCAATAAAAGCATATGAATAGATGTTCATCATTAGTCATTAGAGAAATGCAAACAACAGTGAAATACCACTATGTATATATTGGAATGGCAAACATTAAAGACTGACTGTGCCAAGTGTTTGGCAATGTAGAAAAACCAAACCCTCGGCCGGGCGCGGTGGCTCAAGCCTGTAATCCCAGCATTTTGGGAGGCCGAGACGGGCAGATCACGAGGTCAGGAAATTGAGACCATCTTGGCTAACACGGTGAAACCCCGTCCCTACTAAAAAATACAAAAGAAAAAACTAGCCAGGCAAGGTGGCGGGCGCCTGTAGTCCCAGCTACTCGGGAGGCTGAGGTAGGAGAATGGCGTAAACCCGGGAGGCGGAGCTTGCAGTGAGCTGAGATCCGGCCACTGCACTCCAGCCTGGGCGACAGAGCAAGACTCCGTCTCAAAAAAAAAAAAAAAGAAAAAAAAAAAGAAAGAAAAACCACCAAACCCTCATACACTACTGCTTAAAATGTAAACTGGTAATAGTCACTTCGGAAAACAGTTCAGGATACACCTACGATATTATCCAGCCATTCCACTCCTAACTAGAGAAAAGAAAGCCTGTCTACACAGACTTGTACACAAACCTTCAGAACAGCTTTATTTGTAGCAGCTCCAAATTGGAAACAATTCAAATGTCTATCAACAGGCAAATGGATTAACAACGGAATAGTACTCCAGGATGAAGACAGAATTTTTGATACATACAACACAGATTAATCTCAAAAAGGCCAGACCCGGCCGGCGCGGTGGCTCACGCCTGTAATCCCAGCACTTTGGGAGGCCGAGGCAGGTGGATCACGAGGTCAGGAGTTTGAGACCAGCCTGGCCAACATGATGAAACCCTGTCTCTACTAAAAATACAAAAATTAGCTGGGCGTCGTGGTGTGCACCTGTATTCCCAGTACTCGGGAGGCTGAGGTTGCAGTGAGCTGAGAACGTGCCACTGCACTCCAGCCTGGGCTAGCGTTAAGACTCCTCTCAAAAAAAAAACAAAAAAAGCCAGACCCCACTCAATATCCACACACAGAAAATCCTAAAAAATACAAACCAATAAAGCAACAGAAAGATCACTGATTGCCTGGACAAGAAAATATTTTAATGGGGGCAGTGATACTTAGAGGCAGATGTTTGGGGTCTTGATTGTAATAGCTTCACTCAAAAGTCACCAAATTTAAATGTGTATCGTTATGTTAATTATGCCTGAAAGCCATTTTAAAATGACTATCACATATGGGGTACGTTGCTTTAAATTAGCCTAGGGCCTTCTTCCTAAGCTCCAGAATTCCTGGGCTTTGCTTTTTGCTTTTAGACATTTCTAGTTCTTAATTAGGAGAGGTGAGCTAACAGCTAGGACATGCTTCACAATAGCCTGAAGACTTAAAAAAAAAAAAAAAAAAAAAGGAAGCCTTTATTTCTTTTTCAGGTGCCACACCTCCCTGGATGATCCAAGATGAATACATCGGTGGGAACCAAGAAATAGGACCATCCTATGAAGAATTTCTTAAAGAAAGTAAGTAAACTAATTCAAGAGAGGGTCTTCTAAATCTTCACACTCAAAAACAGTTTCCTTGCCTGTGTGTGATGGCTCATGGCTGTAATCCTAGCACTTTGGGAGGCTGAGGTGGGAGGGTCACTTGAGCCCAAAAGTTTGAAAACAGCCTGGACAACATAGTGAAACCCCATCTCTATATT